GGGGTCCATCACTCGATCGATTCCGATGGGAGGACCCTCTGGCCTCCTACTTCTCCTTCTGCTTCCGTGTGCTTGGCGGCTTGGCGAAGAGCTGGACATGGACTGCGGCGGACTTTCATTTTCCGGAACCCCCCGGTATTGCTGGCTTGAACCAAACAACCTTTCGATTGAAGCGTCTGACCGAATGCTTTGTCTAGCACCAGGGGGTCTCACCAAGCAGACGTGTGGTAGGTTGAACAGCAGCAGCAGCAGCAGCAGCAGCAGCAGCAGCAGCAGCAGCAGCAGCAGCAGCAGCAGCAGCAGCGACAGCGACAACGACAACGACAACGACACCGACAACGACAACGACAACAACAGCAGCAAAGAACAACAATCACCACAAAGGAATTTGCTTTGTTTCCTGTTTTGGGAACCCCCCTTTGCCTGGTTAAAAGTAGGGAAGCTGTTTCCAAAACTGCGGGCACGGCCCAGAGGGGTCCTTCGGTCTTACAGTAAGGGTTCCTCCCCAAAATTGTGGGTTTGCGGTTTTGCTTTAGGTCCCCTCTCTCTTCACCAACCGGAAACCATGGGGTTTCAGTGAAAAAACACGGAAAGCACGCGGCCACGCCTTGCCCAGGTAGCGTGAAGCCAGATGCCGGGAAGCATGGCGACAGATTTTCGGATCTTGAGTGCAGATCCCGACTCTGCAATGTGTGTCTCTTTTTGAGGTCGCATCCTCAAAAGCCGTGCAACGGCTTTCCCGCTTGGTTAACTCCCTAGAGCCCCCTTTTCCGAACCAAAAAAACCCGGGGGCTGCCTTGAAAAAGCACAACGGACCCAGGTGGTGTTCCTACCGGGGTTGTCGTGTGGCATAAGTATATATATATATATATATGTAAAGCTATACTTCTAATAAACCTTGAGAACCAAATGTCGATGGGTCAAAGGGGCACAGCAGCTTACAACAGGGTCAGTTGTACTGTATTATTGTTGTGCTTTGACTGACCTGGACCCCTGGACCAGTGATTGCTGCAGCTTCTGACACCGGTCTTTTAAACTTTTGTTTTTCCATTTTTGTCCACTTGTAGTAAAGGTCCGAAAAGGTTAACCACTTTTTCTTTTGGGCAAGTGAAGTTGTGGATGTTGGTTTTGGGTGGACGAGACGTTTTTGCCAAATACGCTTTCATCCCAAAGGGGACACAGAAAGATTGGCCCGTCCGGTGGGAAATGTTTGCAAAGTCCCCAGCGGGTCAAGAACAGGTACCCAAAATGGGACCCTGGTATACAAGGACTCAACCCTGCGGTTTTTTGGTGGTTTCGTTTTGACCCATACCCATGTTGTCGGTGGGTCACGTCGAGAATGTGTCAAAACAAGGGAACGATGGGGCTTTTGTTCGTGTAAGCCAGCTAAGCCAGCAGACGGAATGCAATGGGTATGTGTCAAAGTAGGGCGAGTGGCCCAAAATTGTGGTGTTCCTGTTGGTGTCCTTTTGAAACCAGGCACTCAAACAAGGCTACCCTCAAAAACGCACACCCGAAGGAGGACAACGACCCATAGCTGACGAGTCCGGGCCGTAGGGGGTGATTGGGGTCCAATCAACTCAGGAAGCGAGCCCACCCCTCATTTTTATTATTATTTTTTATTTTTATTTCGGAGTTCCCTTTAAAACACCCCTTGGTGACAGGGCGCCAGTGTTGCAAAGGGACTGAGTGCATTGAGGTGGTGGTTTGCGATGGCTTCTGCGGCTACAGTGCGGCTCAGCTGCCATCCAGAAAGGGAGGGGGGGGGGGGGTTTGGACGGGCCGGCAGCTGTGAAGGGGTTTCCTTTTGAGTGGGGTGGGGTGGGGTTGGGGAGATGTCGGGGAGTTATTTCTGTACGTAAAAATTCATTTATTTCAAAATGCATATGTATGTCTTTGTATGTTTAGTTGTTCATTCGTCCCACACCCACCCCAAAAACCCTCCCCCCAACAAGGCGAACAGCAAACAACAAGTAAATAGCAGTAGTTGAACGAAAAAAAAGAAGCAGAACAAGAAACATAAACTCATTAAACAAAAACATATACAATACATAAATAAACACAACAAATAGAAGCAAAAACACATACAATGAGAAGTAGGATAGCTCAACTAAATAACTAAAGGCAAGTAATTTTCAAGATACATTTCACTGGACAGCATGGATAAATTCCATGCGTTTCTCAACGTGGGTTCTGAGAACCGCGTCCTTCCTGCGGTGCCATCTGGCTGTGGGTCAAAACCCCGTACCCCAAGTGAACATCCCAATCCAACCACTAGAATGGGTTCTAAAATGGGTGAATTCACCTGCCCCAAAATGGGATCCCATTGGTTGTGAGCCATGGCCATCTGAGAACCTGGTCCCGGCCTACTGCGCGGCGGAGCAGATCCGCTTCCTTCCGGTGCAATCCCCGGGGATCCCGGAGGCAAATGGTGAAAAACCGCTCGAAATTTGGGCGGGCTGGGCGGATTTTTTCGAAGTCGGCACGGGGCGCTTGTTTAGTGGCTTTAAAAGGGAAGCCGAAAGCAAAAGGCCTTCTCTTTTTGGGAGCTAAAAAACACAAAAAAAACGCCCAACTTTGACTTTTTGTTTGTTTTCTATTTCTTTGGTACCTGCTTTTAGTTAACTTTTGATATCTAAACAACAAGTGAGTTGGGGATGTGGGACGTGGGATGGAGTTGGGGGTTTGTGTGGCTGGAACGAGCCAATAACCAGTGGATGAGCGCTACTTTCCCCATGTCCTTTGGGGGACATCATTTTGACCATGGCTCATGTCAGGCTCCTTTTTTTGGAGCAAATCAGATGAAGGAAGCCTTTCTTGCTTTCTTTTTCTTGTTTTGTGGGGGGAAAGGCTAGATGAAGCTTTGTAAGCATGCCGACCAAAAGTCGATGGTAAGGTTTCGAGCGCCACTCACTCACATCTGGTCTGAAGACATCCTGCTCCTGCTTTGGGCATCCGTAAACTTCGTTTGGGCATGGGAACTGACTCTGACCTCAGGAGCGGCCACACAGAATGTGTTCATGTTGCTCTCCCTTTTGCTGTGCATTTTTGAAGCCATTTCAGCAAGGAGAATGCAATTTGCTGGTATGCCGTTTGCAGGACTTCACCAAGAACGTGGATGAGGGGGCACCACAGCTGGGCAGCTCGTTGGGCCGCGATTCTGGGCGGGGCAACCGGTGTTGGGAGAAACCACACTTGGTCAGGCAATCCTTCATGGGCGGTTTGGATTTGGCGGATTTCAAGCCCTGTTTTTTGGCACTGAAGGAGACACCGCCCCAACTATCAAAAAGGGGTCCCGAAGATGATATGGCTCTGATTTTTGATAGGGAGCCCAACTAAACGGCAGCTAAATGACGTCCATGAGACGTCGGTCCGTCTGGCCAGGGGGTTCGCGGGGCCCTTTTTGGAGCGAGTCCCCTTGAAAGTTAGCGGCATGGAGGAGTCCAGGAGTCCAGACATTGCCAGACTTGTACCTGTTTGACTTTCTCGGTTTTCCTTCATTTTTTGTTTCCGGGACAATGTGGAGTTTCTTAAAGCAGGGGGTCGCTTCGAATCGTCCCAGTTAGTTCCGATCATTCATTCAGAGGCGAGACAAGATCAGCCCCCAGAAAGGTTCTCAGAAGAACCCTTTCTGCAGGATGTTCGGCCCCACGAAAAGCCATTGGTGACTTTCCGGTCGGTGCGGTTTCTGCGCCAAAGGTCTTTTCGAGGAACGGGTCAGCACAAAGGGTCCCCCTTTGAGCTTGTTTCCGCAACAGGACACCTAGAGAAAGGCGTTCCATTTATTTACAAGGGAGAGTCAAACCCCCATGCTTGATTTTCCCTATCGAAGCAACAACTTGAGACACTGAGTTGGAATCCCCAAAGAACGGGCACCCTCATGGTTTCCTCTTAAAATTCCCATCGGGTTTGTGAAACCTGTTGATTTGCCCGAGAACCAGCGAGAAACTGGGCTTCGATTGGTATCGCCCATTGTTCTGAGGGTGGAGGACGACAAGCTGCCGCCCGAGATCACGGCCAAGGCGGAAAAGGGATGGAGCCGGAAAAAGCCGGGGGGGGTGGCCATAGGTTTCCTTTTGTTGGTGGTTTTTGCATTTAAAAACATAGAAGGCGATTCCTGGTGTACTTTTTCGTTTATTTTCATCTACCAGGGCCATTTATTTGCCAACAAGGACACCTATGGAAGTGGCGGTTCTCTTGTTTGGGAACTTCGGTTTGGTGGCTGTTGCTGAGTCTCATGTTGCGATCGCAGATTGCGGAGTGGGTACCAGCTGGAGGCCCATGGCCTTGTTTGAATGAGAAAAATCCAGGGTTCTTTATATATCCTTGTGAAGCGCAGTCCATGCACTTGCAGCATGAGACAAAGATGCGCTCTCTCGACAGGGCGGGCTCGAAGACCTTGGCAAAACGGTTCGCCGCGCAGACATCAGCCGCCATGCTCTTGCAAAGAGGTCCGTCCTTCAAGAAGAGGTCAACAACGCCACGGTCAGTTAAAGTTCCAAGACCTAACATGGGTTCAAGCTTGAATTGAGGGGGAGCCTTTGGTGGGCGTCACTTGCCTGAATTTGTCTCTTCTGAACCCCAAAAAAGGGTCCCCTTAAAAGAGAAGACAACCACACGGGTAATTTACGCGACTCAGGTGGAAGAAAAACACCGTCAGGGGACTAAGCGGAAAAGGGACAATCCCCGCCGAGTGGCAAGGGCTTCCGTTTCTCTTCGCTTTGACACCAACCAAACGAGGGTTCCCAATTTTTTGAGATGCCCAACAGGTTTGTCTCTGTCCACCCAGAGTCATAAAAAGAGATGGTTGCCTTAGGATTTTCGTTCTCTTTTCTCTTCATAGCCAGAAAAAGGCGGGGGTGTCTCCTTCGATTTTTCATCTCGTTTTTTTTTCTTCTTCCTTCTTTTTCCGGATCCCCTGGTGCCCAGTTTGGTCGGATCCCTTCGCGCGGGTCGGGTGCCGGCCGGGAAGAGCCGAGTGGCAGGCCTTCGGGGTGTCGGTGGAGCTGGTGAAGGCCATGGAGCAGAAGGTGGAGCCCTCCCAGATGCCCCAGGCGGACTAGGGGGAGGAGGGTACGGGGGTGGGAGGGTACGGATTTGTGTGGGGGGGGTGGGGTTGGAGGGGAGGAAGGGTTGGAGGGGTGTGGGGGGGGGGGTGGGAGGTGGTATGGCTCCCCACAAATTCTTTGAGCTTTGGAAAAGGTGGTACGGTGTGGGCCGGAGTTGGTATCCTATCCTTTTGGGGCCTGGCTTTAGAGGACTTTCCAAAGGCGGCATTCTGTGCCAACCCGTCTGAGTGAATGTCCTCATTTGGGTGTGGTTCGGGTTGTTTCGGGTTGCTCTGGTTGCTGGCTCGGTGAGCTTTCAAGGCTTTGCCTAGGAGATGCGGGTATCAGAGTGGGTATCCTAAGCGAGGGCAGGAGACGCTGAAGCTTTTTGGGTCACGGAGGCCATGAGCTCCCTCACGGCCTGGGTGTGATGCGAATCTTGGCCTAGGGCCTAAGGGCGGGTGTTCGGTTTTCCAGTTGGCTTCCGAACCCTGACGCGAGCCAACAAGATGAGGCGCCCCGGAATTTCCTGGAGCCCCAAGATGAGAAAGAGCCAACAAGGAGGTCCAAGACAGGTTCACTCTGAGGTACCGGTCCCCGCCCATCTGCAGCACGTCTTGGCGCCCAAACCAAGCCAACGAGCCCTGATGGTTCAAAAGCATCTGCTTCTTTTTTTTGCGCCTTCACATTTTTCTATTTTTTTTTTGGGGGGGGGCTTTCAACGTAAACCAACGAAAAAAACAGTTTTCCCAGTTTGAGGGGTGCTGGCGCACCGGCTCATGCTCGGTTTTGGTCGCCATGAGAGGCGAACCCCAGCCAGCTAAGCCTCATGGGCCTGGGCGGCATGGCGCTGGGGCCCAGTGGGGGGGGTTGGAGGTGGGGGGTTGGGACATGCACAAGAGACACTCAAAAGCGGCCACGGCCTTTCATGGGGTTTGGGTGGACATTTTTGAGTAGTTGGCATTTATATGACGATTTGTGAGGAGAAGGCTTTGGTCGAGCAGGCTGGCGCATGCAGGATTCTATGGGCTTTGTCGGGCTCAACACTTCTTTGGGGGCCTGCCCTCGAGTTGTTTGTTCATTTTGTCATGAAGCCGCGTGTGGAGCGCTGGATTAACCTTGGGCTTCTCTTCATATAGCCAGCTCCTTTGCCAATGTCCGACGGGTGCACCCGTGAAGTTCTGGCCTGCTTCTGCTGCATTGGGAAGACCAACCCCCCTCAATTCCTCCCAACCCCCCAACCCCTCAACCCCTCCCAACCCCCCAACCCCTCAACCCCTCCCAACCCCCCACCTCCCCTCCCAACCCTGACGCAACTCTCCGGACTCCGACGACTCAGCAGGTGACTTCGCTGCCTTTGGAGGTGGCGGGTTTCATGGCGTCGCCCCTGGCCAAGAAGCTGAAGGTCCCCGTGAAGGCGCGGCTAGGTGGCGGCTTTGGAGCACCGCACAAGAGGCCAGCCGGTAAACTCCCATTTGGTTAAGATTTTTTTTGTTCCCCTGTCGGTTTTGAAGGGGATCGATTTCACTGCTGGAATTATGTTCATTCTTTTCCAGGGGACGAAACCGCAAATGGAGGTAACATGAGGCGCGCGGTCCCGGGACCGAAGCGAGGACTTGGGCTCGGGGGGTCGTCGGATTCAAAAAAGGTGGCCGGCGCCATCATCAAGAACCTGGCCACGGGCACCTACATGGCGGAGATCTATCCCAGTACCAGGATCGATTGCACGCGGTGGGTTGGTTGGTTGGGTGGGTGGGTTGGTCGGTTGGTTGCTCGGGTGGTTGGGTGGGTGGGTGGTTGGTTGGTTGGTTGGTTGGTTGGTTGGGTGGTTGGGTGGGTGGGTGGTGGGTGGGTTGGTTGGGTGGGTGGGTGGGTGGGTGGGTTGGTTTGGTGGGTGGGTGGGTTGGTTGGTTGAGTGGGTGGGTGGGTGGGTTGGTTGGTTGCTTGGTTGGCTGGTCGGTCCCGTGGGTGGGGTTGTTGCAGGTGTGCCAGGCAATTTCCATGGATCGCTGCACTCCAATGAAAGTGGAGGATCTGAGGGTTCTGGAGTGAAGCCATGTGCATAGTGGGATTGCGTCTTTTTTCCAGTAGGGCACCTGATTGGTTTCTTGGTCGTTCCCAGCCACCTGAGGTTTTAAGCTTCTCAGCGTTGAGTGGGGCTTTCCATTTAACCCGCTCAAAGTTATTCACTTGCAGGGGATCTGAAAACGGACAGCCCAGGATTGAAAGCCACATCAACTCACTTCCCGAGTTCCTGGGCATAATAACTTTTGGGTTTGGGCCATTTTGGTGGCTTCAGAGAATGTTTGGTTACTGTTTTTGGCCAATCCGCTTGTTGGGAAGCGAGACTTTTTGGAGGCCCCTCACCTTTGGAGGCTTCAGAGGGCTCCCGTGGGCACCTCTCTCAGCGATGTCGCCGCGAGTGACCGGGGGGGGGGCCGGGCAGGGGGGGGAGTATTCGAACATGTTCGGCTTGCGGGTTAAGCATCGCCATTTGGTGTTTGGAGTTTGTTTATGGAAGGGTGACGTTTGGAAAAGCTCGGAGTTGGATTATGGAAGGGTGATGTTGAAGTTTCCTGGGTGATATGTGTACTTTGAAGCGTGCTTGTGGAGAACTGCTGTCTCCTTGGCTCACGGAGGGTCTTGGCTTCGGCGCAAGCGGTTCCTAGGAGCGTGGTGGGGCAGCAGACGCTGAAGCCGGGCGCCCCAGCTGCGCCGAAATCCAGTGGCCAGTTTCCTTGGGGGTTCCCGAAGGCCATCTGGTCCCTTGCTTTTTCTTAGGCCTTTTAGGGTTTAGTGGTAGTTTTCATTTAGCCCACTAAAGGTTAAACACTTTCAGCGGGGGATCTGAGGACAGCCCAGTTTCTTCCACCTTTCTCTTTGAAATGGGCTCGTGTTGGGGCTCCTAGTTGTGACGCATGCCCATCTTGGGTTGCTATTTTGGGCTGGCGTCGCGCTTTTGGAACACATGGTGGAGAAAATCGTGAGATAGTTTTATATACCCATTTGTGGCTTCAAAAGCAGAATCCAAGCTCCGGGCGAATACAAATTGACGCCTGTGCAACGTGCGTCTGACTCAAAGGAGGGAAACCCGAAGTTGCTGTGAGTTGCCCAAGTTGTCCCCAAACCAGCGATATTCATGTAAAACAAGGTCTCTCAGGGAGATAGATGTGGTGTAACAAGGTGGTTCAAAAATCATGGGGGCACATCCACTATGGGTGGTTTGATGTAGGCTTTCTTTGGAGCAACCCAACATGGGTAGCTCACAAAAGCAGACATGTCCATTTCTTTAGGTCGCTGGCAAAGACGAGTGTACAACCAGTTTCAGTCTCACAAAGAGCTCACTTGTCAACACAAAGACAAGTACCACCACTGAAGTCTTGAAGGCGCCTCATTGTTGGGTTGGAACCCGTGATCTTCTCATTTCCCAAGATCATTTGAGGGTTTCTCAAGATAGGGGACAAGACAATTCACGACGAAGTTCCTTTTGTTTTCCCTTGCAGGCAAAAAGGGGCCCAGCGTTTCGTATTTCAGGGGTCAACAAGTCGACTCTTTTGGCTGTGGGTAAAAACCAATGAAATCCCATTTTGGGGTAGGTGAATTCACCACCCATTTGAGTCTATAGTGGTTGGATGATGTTCACTGGGGGGTAACCGGGATTTTGACCCACAGCCATATGAATCCACCCACCATTTGATTGACAGGGTTTGGTGGGGTGTCCCTGGGTGAAACGTGGGGAATCAGACCGCTTTGGGGAATTACTTTCCGATTCACAAACTGGGGTTGATTAATATGGGGTCAACATTACGCAGTCGCCACAAAGGCGAAATCTAGAGGCCCTTGACACAACCAATAAAGTGATTCCCATCCGCCCATTACAGCCGTCTCCAAGACGAAAGCCGTTCGCTTCGAGGGAGCGGTGCCTCTTCGCAAGTCCCCTGCTGCCACTGCCCAAGCCGCTGGAGCGAAAAAATGGGATGCCGAAAGGGAAGTGGCCGCTCACCGTAGCTTTGGGTGCGTTTTTCTTCTTCCTCTTTTTTTTTTCTCCCGGAATTTTCCCCTTCTCCTTGCAGGGAAACCAAACGGAAAGTCGCCAAATGTTTGGGGCTCCTATTTTGACACGTAGTGGAATACTCTTCAGCAGATTGAAAAGCAACCAAAGAAGGTTCCTCTCAAACCCATGTTTGTTGGCAGGACTGTGCTTACGAAAAGCTTCCGACGATTTCACCTGCTTGGTTGGCGTTTTTTTCTTTTTTTTGCGCGTGGACTCTGACGTTTCGGGGGGTCCTGGAATACTCTTTTCCTTAGGGAGCCCCTGTCAGGTTCCATGTGAATTGGTGAGAGGGTATCTACTGTAGCAAAGGGGCTGATTTGGGGTGAACGTTTTTGGCACCAGTCCCTTTCTGGCAAGCGCAAGGGAGAACTTGCGCAAGTGGCCCACCATACCCCAGTTACCCAGTGGTGCCCTTTCTTCCCTTTTTTTGGGAAGGGTTCCCCTTTTAAGGTCAACCAACAAACGGATGCCCTTTCTTCCCCATGGAAATGGCCATGGGTCAAAACCCCGTACTCAGTGAACATCCCAATCCAACCACTAAGATAGGTTCTAAAATGGGTGGTGAATTCACCTGCCCCAAAATGGGATCTCATTGGTGTTGACCCCAGCCAAATCCAAAATTTAAGAGCTAGGGTATACGGGCATATGGGTGTGGCTCACAGTTAAAGAGCTAGGGGTTAGTTACGCAGCTGTGAGTCTTTTTCTCCATATGGCTGTGGCTCAAAAAACCGGTACCAAAATGGAACCCTGGTAAGTGGACACATGGACCAAAACCTGCGGTTTGCCCCTCCTGTTTAATTTGGAGCCACAGCCATATACCCAGGTGCAATTTCGGGGATTCCCATGTTTTTGAGCCACAGCCATCTCCAGCCGTTTGGTTTTGCTGGGCTTCGGCACCAGGAGAACGGCCAGCTGCAGCGCGACAAGGAGACCTTCGAGGCGAAGAGAGCGCAGCTGGGCGGACGTGCGGATGTCTTCCGTTTGGTGAAGAAGACGTTTTTCATTTTCCCCCTGTTGGTTTTGAAGGGAATCGATTTCACCACCGTTTTTTTTTGTTGGTTCTTTTTCCAGGGGACGAAAACGCAAATGGAGGGATTTGGTGGGCATGTGGATCGCCGCGACATCCGCGAGTCTCGCACCACGAAATGAGTTGTCATGGGAATGAAACCGTAAGGTTGGTTGGTATTTACGTTGGGGCATCAAGTGAGAAAGCTAGGGTTGCTGAACGGTGCGAAATGGATTTTGTCGATCCACACTATGTCCAACCTGGGTGCCTTTCGAATTGGAAGCAAGGCGGGCGCCCCATTGAACATTTCAGGCGGCTGAGTGTATCCTGATTACACAAATACTGTGGATGGACAAAATCCTGCACCACCTAAGAAACCCTGGGGTGATGATTCAACTGCAGATACCAACCAACAATGGCTTCAACCATGCTTTGAAAGTGGTGCAGGGATGAACATGTTGTTTGCCTAAACCTAACAACCGAAGCCCTGCAACTGGATTCTGACCGAATGGCGTTTTCTGAGAACCATTCCGCTGGCGCCCCAGTGATTAGCTTGACAGGGGGACCAAAAGATTCCAGCCAATATGTGGGCGTGCTTTTCATTTCTTTCTTTCTTTCCAGGCTTCCCATATTTTTGGCAGGGTTTTTCAAAGTAACCGCCACATGAGAGCCGTTCTTAAAGGTACCCCTTGGCGCTGGTCCGATGGCCCGAACCTCTCGGGTCCGAAGGTTTCGCCGGGTGGCCTGAGGCCCATCTCCCAGCCTTCGAATTCCAGCCGGGCGCTCGCCAGGCCACGCTCGCGCCCGTCGAGCCCGAGCTCCTGGCGTGGCTGTTCAGCGCCGCGGCCCAGTCGTTTTTTTTTTTTTTTTTTTTTTTTTTTTTTTTTTTTTTTTTTTTTTTTTTTTTTTTTTTTTTTTTTTTTTTTTAAGGCCATCAGGTTAAGAGCGTGGATAGCTGGCCGGCGCCAGCACCAGGCAAGTTGCAAGATATGTGCCATGGTCAAAAGACCTCACTGGGGGTTGGTATGGATGGTCGTGAACGGTTTTGTAGGGAATTGAGTTATTATAAGGATTTAAAGTAGGCAAATCCCATGAAATCATGACAAAAGCGCTTGGGTGCAAAACGCAGGGCCCAGGACGTACCCTTCTGAAGGATTTCTGGCAAAGGAGACACATGAGTTTTTTCAGCATGGCATCTATGGGTGTGTCTTGTTTTGGGGGTTCCTTTTGTTTGGTTTTTCTAAGGGAACACCACAAGGACACATCAATTTCCCCTAAAAAGCAACACACCCGTTCAGGACACAAACATGTCCCCTGAAAAACAACACGCCCGGCCCGTTGGTCTCGTCCACGTGGAGATCGGCGTTTGAGGTGAGGACAAGGCGCCCATTGTCTACGTGGCCTTTGGCAGCATCGTGAGGCCGAGCCAGGAGCCGGCGGAAGGGACACGTGCCAGGGGGAGAGCTTGTCGCGGTCCGTTTGGAGATGGCATAGGTGGCTATGGGTCAAACTAACACCACCCAGGAATCGGTGGATGGACGAAATCCATTTCGCACCACCGCTCAGAAACCCTGGTTTCTGATGATTCCCAAGGAAAACGAACAAGTGGTTTCAACCATGCTTTCCAAGTGGTGCAGGATTTTGTCCACCCACAGTAGCATAGGTCTGCCTATTTTCTGTTGCGTGCGGTTCCACCGATTCGGGGGTATAACGAGCGAAAGCCATGATAAAGATCAGCTCACTGGGGAATCACTTACTTCAGCTTTTAGAGTTTTAGTGAAAGTTGCAGATAGGCACTTTGGTCCATCTCTACACTTTCTTTCTGACATATGGGGATGTCTCGAAATTGTGCGATCCCAAAATCCTTCTGCTCTTCCCTTTAGGCCAACCTGAAAAGGGAAGACTCACTCATATTAGGGGGGGTTCGGGCTGGTTGTGGGTTTAGCGGAGTGGGGGTTGGGGTACTCTAGTCTTGTTGCTGGCAGAGTGTCCTTTGGCGTCGTCAGGAGACTTGATAAATGGGTTCCGATCGCTTCCACCAAAGCACAATCATGTAGCAGCATCCTTAAATCTATTTGTTGGAACCCATGTAGGGTCATCCATGTGGGTTTGCCTCTTTTTTAGGGAACCCCCAAAATGGCGGCTTTCCTTTCGGTTTCCCTTCAAAACACATGTTGTTTGAGGACATGATCTCGAAGCTGGCCAAAGCGCTAGACGGCGAGTGGCGGGTGCTCTGGGCACCTTGGCCAGCGATTCTCTGTTTCGGAAGTTTGCGTTTGGGAGGCTTCGGTTTCGGTATTTTCCGAGTGGGATGCTTTGGTGGACATGACTTACACGGGGATATATGTTCACCAGCTTGGGGTATTCTCCATTTCAATGCCAAGCCATGGCAAGCCATGGCAAGACCAGGAACTTCATGTTGGCAAGGGAACAAAGCATAGATGCCCATTTCCGTTTGTGGGTTTCAGTTTTTTGATCATTTGAAGCGTCTGCCAGATGCAGTCTGTGCTGGCCTTTGCTAGTGTCGACACATGCAGAAGGGTTCGGCTCTTTCAAAAGTGCAAGACACAACCGCAACCATTGGTACACAGACTTGATTGCTTTTGAGGCTTCTTCTTCCACCCCAATAAATAGTTAAGTTAAGCACAGCGTGCGCCAACTGCAAGAACAAGAGCTCTGAAGAGGGCCATTTCGTTGAAAAGGCCTGATGTACTGAAATCGGGGTACAGGGAAATCATTGACCTGCCAGGGGTGCCTTTGAGAGAAATCCATATAAGCCAAGCAATCCCAACGCCCAAATCCCAATCCAATGAACCTCATCCCAACCACCAAGGGAACGTCTTCGGACCCCTGTCAGCCAGAGACACCCCGGTTTTCCTAATCAGTACCCGCTTTGCGGGGGCTCCCCCAAAACAGGAAAGGCGTATCCAAAGGTTGGCCCCCCCTCAAACAAAGAAGAGAAAGAAAGAGGAAAGACAAGGACAAAGAAAAACGGGTCCACGGAATATATATCCAAAGGTTGCCCCCCCAAAAAAATAAATAAAACAACAGAGAAACAACAAGAAACAAAGAAGATCGTCGGGTTCGTCCATGGAACCCCCCCTCAACAAAAAAAGGAAGATAGTCGGCTTCGTCCAACAGAAGCCGCAGCCCCTCCCTCGAAGTCCCGGCTTTAGGTGCTGCCCGACGAGCTGCAGGGCTTCCTGCCGTCGGAGCGGCCCGCGTCCTGGCGAGTGGAGCGGTTCGTGCCGCAGGCGCGTCGGGCGGTCGGCGCGTCGGCGCTTTTTCGTGGATCGGGGCGGGTAGGTTCCTGGGCTGCCGGAAAATGGAGTGGCGGGAAGGAGGGAGTTTTCCAGAACTGGGTTTTCCTTGGCCCCGGAAAGTTGAGTTCCTTGGCCCCGGGTGGGTTCCTTGGCCCTGGGAAGCATGAAGAGGGACACCTCCAGAACTGGGTTCCTCCGGTTAAGTTCCAAGCCTGGTAGTTGCAACAATCAGGCCCTTGAAAGGTGAGCCAAAGAAAGGCGGATGGTTGAAGACTAGTTGTTTGAAGGTGTCCAAGGCTGGTCCAACCCCCAGCCCGGAGGGGAGAGTCTCCGAGCGACATGGGTGGGGGTTGTAGCTGCAAAGTCGTGCCGGGTCCTTAGAGTTTTGCCCGAGTTAAGAAGGATCTGCATTTTGGGCATGGGGCGGTTGAGGTACAGAAACTTCTGCGGTCCAAATGGTCCAAATGGGTTGCGAACTCCAGGGCCCGGGTGGGTGGGGTGGTTGGGTGGGAAACTTCGAAGTGAAGCGTGTTTTTGTATCCAAAAGTTGAGGCTGGACGCAGCTGCGTGCATGCTGGCTGCGTGCAACGCCCAAAGTCGCTCATTATCGAGCTAACTTTCCTTTGGTTTTAAACCGGCATTTGCTTTGGGACTGTGACCATTCCCACACAAGCAGAAGTTCAAACTTTGCAGCGGTGCACGTCTCCTTTTTGAGAATACAGCTGTGGGTCAAAAATTGGGGAACCCCATAATGGAACCCAAATGGAACCAAGGACTAAAACCTGAGGCCCCTGGTGGTTTGATTTTGACCCATACCCATAATATCCTCTTAGAAGTTGTTGGGGAGTCTAAGAGTAAAAGTACATACCCCAAAAGTACATACCCCAAAATAATGGAAACACCTTCTCGGGGTAGGGATGTGTGCTTGCCACTTTCACTGTTAGCCTATGCCAGGCGCTATTCGTGATGGTTTGTGTTCAGCCCCGGGATGGCAAAAGCAGTGTGGGCAGAACAACGCCCAGGTGATGCCCCAGATTTCGTATCTTGAGACCGGTGCTGAGGAACCCTGGACAAAAGCCCACCGGGGCCGCAGAGTACATACCCCAAATTTCTTCAATTTCTCCCGGGCCGGGAAAACACAGCATACCGTGGGGAAAAAAGTACATACCCCAAAATAGTTGGTTATGGGTGCGTCCTTTGTTCTGGGGCTCCTTTTTTGGGGTATGCGGGGGGGTTGTGGGTCTTGGGGTAGCTTTTTGGTCATTGGGGTGGGGTTGGCGGGGAATTCGGGGGAGGGATGCCGGGTGATTTCGGGAGAGTTTTGGGGGCCAGGGGCTTCGGGGGGTGGAAAAGGGGAAATCCGGTGCCAAGAAACGCAGGTGCAAGTGAAAATGGGGCACGCTGCCTTTGCAACATTGTATAACCCCTATATAACCACTCTATAGTCAACTTGTTTTGGGTATGTGATTTCGGGGTATGTAGAAAAACCCTTAGAGGGAGAAGAGGGAAACAAACAGATACCACCCATCTGCACGAAGCTTGGCGTGTTTCAGCCCATTTTGTTGGCCAGTTGGCCAGGCGGATGTTCTGAAGTGTGACAGGCGGGTGGGTTCCGTGTGCGCGTTCTGATGGCCAAGCCGGGCAGGAGGTTCAAGGGATAAGAGGCTCAATGGAATCTAACAATGTCGCCTAGCACAGGAGTGTCTCAAGATTCCTCCCATGGCGGGTGTTTGGCTTAAGCAGGATGTTCTCCCGTTGGGTGTCCCTTGTTTCAGTTGGTCGTTGGTCCATGGGGCTAGCAAATTATCCGCCAAATCCAAAGGGCTTTTCTTCCAGTTTTCGTGTGCCGTTTAGGGCAACAATGGATATTGTCCGTGACTCACTTCTTGCAGGAGTTGAGTTCAAGTTAGTGAGATGTCTAACGGACTTTAATGGCTCACCCGCAACAGTGATTCGTAGTTGCACAAGCCTCATGTAACGGATGTCCACCAAGTGGTGACAAACTTGAGTCTATGTTTAGCTGAGCGGGAATGGAGCTGTCAAACGGACAGGCTCCCAACTTGTCATAGGATAGGCCGCAAGGTCAGAGGCTGCCCCAGGGTCAAACTTCGGCTCGGTGGCAACTTCCTAGCCTCCACGAAGCTCCCTGGTCGGCGGCCCAGGATCCGGTGCTTTCTGTCCCACATGGGTGCGAACAGCACCACTGAAGCTTTGGCCGCAGACGTTTTCGGCAAAGTGGGAACCCGGATGAACAGACTGAAAAAAGAGGCGGTGGGAACCCGTTTGGCCACGGAGGAACCCGGATGAAAGCCCCGGTGAAGCTTTTCCTGCACGAAGCTTTGGGGTGTTTCCCCCGCACCCTGCGGGGTTCGGGACGCGGGCGCATGGGGCCTGGGCCCATCTCTTTCCCGGAGCTCCCGAACAACAAAAAACGGGACCTTCGAGGGCCGGGGTTTGAGCACCCTTTTGGACCGGCCATTTATTTATTTTTTAAACAAAAAGCGGCGGCTGGACCCGGGGTTGGGGATGTGTCAGCCAAGCCCAGGCCCAAATGGGGTCAGAAGGCGTGTCCCAGAGTTCTTGGCTGAGTTACTTTGTGATACAATTTGTGTTGGTAGGATGGTAGTCGCGGAGAAGGTTTCATCTTGATCTAGAGCTTCGGATCTCTTTTGTTTTTTTCGGCATCTGCGCTCAAGCGCAACTCAGGGAAGAGAGAAAGCCGCGAGCGTCCCGAGGAATCTTTGGTTTGCAGCGTGCCAATGCTGTGCTGCCCCAGCCTCAGAGTTTTGAGGTCTTGGAGATTTTGAGGTCTTGAGGTTGCATCTGTTAGGGAGACTACTAGAATCCCCCCAACGCTGTCTGAGCTTCGTTGGTTGTTCTGTCTTATGCCGAAGTGGTGCGGGACGCGACACGATGTTTTCCACACTTTGTGCCCACGAGGAAAAAGAAAGGCTTACCCGGAAGGCCCCAAGGTGTGTGAGAGTTTCCTTCATTTTCCCCCGACGCTCCAAGAGGTGGAGCTCTTTGCATTTGGCCGGCACGGGCTTCTGGTTTGGGTCGGATCCGTGTGCCCAACTTTCGCAGGATCCGTGGTTCAGAGCCCAAGTTCTCTTTCGGCCTCTTAGACCTTGTTCCAGGGAAGTCTGGTGGGTCAAAATTAAACCAGGAATCGGACGGCAGGTTTTAGTCCAGCTTTCCATTTACCAGGGCAAGCCATTTTGGGTACCTAGTTTTTACCCACAGCCATCCGAATCTGGGACCCGAGCTTGGAGGAGTTTTGGGTCGAAGTTTGACCTCTTCCGGATGGGAGACTGGCCAATTCTCAGGGCAGATGTCTCGGTTTCCGAGCTTGCGCCTTCGCAGGTTGCCCCTTTGTCGCATATTTGTTTGGTGAATTTGTAAAGTACGAGGAATCCGCTAGTTCCCGTTCAGCTGGTCGATAGTTTTTTTCTTTTTCCGATTCTCGTATGTGTACAGCTTCCGAAAGGAGCCCATTTGCGATCGAAGGCATATGGGTCACAGCGCGAAGGACCTGCCTCCTCGAAAAATCGATGGCGATTCCTGGCTTACCTGGTGGTTTAATCAGCTACCAGGGAAACCCATCTATTTGCCCCAAAAGGACACGTATGGGCATTCCATGGACCTCTAAAGTTTGGCGTGGCCAGTGCCAGGATGTTTGCTAAAGATGGCTGGTGTAAACTACAGCGGGAGGGGCGGGGGGGGGGGAGGGATTCTGCTGTTTTGACAGACCCACGTGGTAGGCCCCTTCTACATGGATCAGTTCGAGTGGACCTGGACGGTGTGCGAGCACCTGGGCGCTGGCTTGCAGGCAGGTCGAGTAGTTCCTTTGAGGGTGCTGGGGTGTCTTTTGAACTTGTTTCACATTTGGGGGTTGATCAAAAGGTCCTGTACATTTACATTCAGGATCATTTTGGGCCAGACCACTATCAAGATGTGGTCATTTGGGGGCCAGGAATCTTGATCTCCCCCCATTTGAAGGTTCGCAGAATAGGCCATGGGCCAGGTACTTCCCCCGTTCTTTCCAGGGATCCTTCTTTCTGGAAAACCTCCAGAAACCCAAATATTCAATGGCGGGTTTGAGAAAAGAATGATGGTTGAAAAGAATGGAGAAACAACCCCTAGAAGGATCAAGCATTTCTCTGGGTTGGGTTGCCCAAGCTGCTGCGCAACCCCTAGAAACTCCTTCCTTTGTGTGGCCATGGGTCATAACTTATGCCTCCATTTTTCGGGCGGATGCACACCCATGTACCACCTATTTTGATGTTGTTTTTGGGGGCATGTAGTTTTATCGCAACATGTTTCAACGCCACGGCCAATGCGCCGTTTGGCTCAAGCCTATCAACCCGGCAAACATAATTGCTGTTCCCGGCGCCATTACTTCACGGCACGGCCGGACATCCGCTAGCTGGAAAAGCGGCGGCTGTACCTGGCTGTGGTGTTGCTCTTTGGCGGGGTCAGATCGAGGACTGTTTGGGGTTGGTGTGTATATTGTTTGCTCGCTTGCTCGCTTTGCTTTGCTTGCTCGCCTGCGTTGGTGCTGCTGCTCTTGCGCTTGCTGCGCTGCTTGCCCTTGCTGGGCTCTTTCTTCTGTTTGTTAAACTGGCACCCCTTTTGGTTCGTGTTTGTGCCGGCCGGGGGCAACTGCTTTGCCCTTGGGACCGGGGGGATAAGGTGGTCTCTTCTTGTTGGTGGGTTAGGGCCTGTTTTATCCATCCCGAAACTCTGTTTCAAACCCTTTCGCAGGTTATCAGCCGTAGGATTCGTCCTCGGTTGGCACCGCGAACCCCATTTAATAACAACCCTGCAGGCGCCGTTTTCCATAGGCTACTGTAGGACTCATGGCGGGAATCACCGAGGATGGACCTCATGTGGTGACCGATGAGTGGGTTCTCGGCCAGGCCGGAATCTTGGACGTTGTGAATGACGACCAAGTGCCCGGACAGCCGATGTTTTCCGGTCCTGATTTTTTGTCGGACCACACTTTTTCCGAAGCAATGCCTTCAGAGAGATCCAGTGCTACTCGCACTGATGATCTATCGTCTAATGCCTCAAGAGCTAATCGCTCTCAGGGTCGTGGGTCTAATCGTCCTGGCCATGATGATTCCGTCTCAGGACGTGATGATGACGAGCCCGCTATTGCACCTGGAGCTCAATCCTCATCTTTCCCCGAGCTGATGAATATTGGTCAGTCCGAAATTCGTGACGACCTGTGCCAACCAGTAGCATAGCTTTTCAAGTGCTCGGTAATCCCGAACCTGGTACATCCAGTGGAGCTGCATTTGACGTTCATCTGCCGACCGAATCCGGTGGGCTCGATTGGAGAGCCTCATGGCCCAACGACGGAAACATTTTTGGTATGGATTTTGCCGCATGGATGCCAGGGCCACCCGCCCCGCCATCTTTCCCGCAATTCCAAAGCCCAAAACGGGCTGCTGGAAGCGACGAATTCATGCTACCTTTGTCGATTGAGAATCTCAATCCTGACGTGGCCAGCCGTAACGTCAGGCCAAGGCCGTCGGTAAACCCGACCATGAGGAACATGTCCCCTCCCCCAGGACTTTCAGGATTTGAGAGCCCTAGGGAGCGTAACATCGTAGATAGATTGGATTTGCATCCCAGTCCAACCCCAAGCAAACGATCAAGGTCAAATTCGACTGGATCGCATAGGGCAAGGGGGATGGATCGGGAAACTGCCCATAGGGGTAACCCCAATACGCGGGACTCAGGACGCGGTCGATCAGGTGACCCAGCGTCGATCATTGGTAGAGATCCGCTAAACGCGGACATGTTGATTAACGTGTTTGATGGGATCGAAGCATTCCAGGAGGAATTCAATAGGTCGAGTGGCCCGAATGTACAGCCTGTTCGCCCTACGCCCAATGCGGCTTCCTTTCTCGCCATTGACAACACAGACGGAGCTGATGTTCCGATTGAGTCTGAGTCCATGATGGCATCAAGTTCCAATCACAACAACACCGTCAGCAGCGCCACCGATGTTGAATCAATGTCTGAGTCTAGAGCGTCCAATGCGACTGATTTGCATGACGTTGTCATTGCCGATATGAAGCCTGAGGTTCCTATGCGGACTGATAGGCCGGTAGTTCCCAAATTGTTTGTGACAAAGGGTCTAGGCATGCCACAGCCATCAGCTGTTCGCGATGCCAGAAGATCTGCACCGTATCAGAGTCAGTCTCCGAATCGGAGCGAATTCCCACGGCCATCAACGGCAGTACAAGATGATTTCAGGACACCTCCGAGATCTAATCCGATCATGGTTGATTTGTCCACTCCTCGAGATCGCGGATCAGGATTTGGTCCTGCGAGTGAGGAGCAACCCAACGAGGTTGCTGATCTTGTAACAGCCCTTGAAAGAGGGAGAGTGGACTCTTCGGTAAGTGCGATCATTCATCGCCTGGTTGCTAAGGTCGAAGACCTTGGGCGTAGGAATGATAGAAGTGATCAATGCATCAAGCAGCTCTCCACTGAGGTTAACTCGTGGAGGGCCAAATACGACCAATGCGTCCATGTGAGTAGCACGTGTACGCAGGCTGCGAACGCGGCCATGCAGCTGTCACAAGGGACTAAGGACATCGTGACCGAGCTTGGCC